GTAAAGTATCGAAAAAAATGTAGAACAAAAACGGCCACCCCAAAGGGCAATTCTTTAAAAAATCAAACAGTCGTCTGTTTCAAAGGATTTTGCAAATATAACAATACCATTCTGCTAATCTTTAAATAACCGAAAATGGGTCACCGCCACCTACATATGCGGACGCACGTATTGTAGTCAACAACCAAGTTTGGGATCTATTAAGGATGTCCTAACATTATTTGGCAAGACGCAAAGGATAAAGCCAACAATTCTTCCCATCAATAGTTGAAGACAAATCATTAAATGGTTAGTCTTTGCCGCCTTTGTTTGAAGATGGAATGGCCAAGAAACCCACAGAGGACTGCTAACTATAACTTTTAACTATAATGGAACTATGGGTTAAGGCGTAGTCAGGCTACTATGAATTACGTCAAATGTAATTTATTTCCGCGTTTCCACTGCTTTTGATCTTTTATTAGGGATGTCGTTAAGAGCTTTCTTTTGCAACTAAGTCAATGAAACGTTTCAAATTCTGAAAATGAGGCAAATTTTACACTGTATATTTAAATCGTTCTACACTATTTTTAGCAATAAAAAAAAACAGAGCGCGGGTTCAACTTCTATCACCTTGCCTTTAGTAGTGCTTACTTTTTTCTTCCGTTAGTACTGCTTACCAGCGTTGCCAAGGCTACCCCGAACAGGGTAGATCTACCCCTTTTTCAAACAAGTCGACTCTCTACCTCCCCTCAAGGAAATCTACCCCGCTATACTAACCAGAGCAAAACTATAAAACAATTAGTTAGGATTTGTTAGGACATGTAGAGTGCGTGATGCATGCCCTATTTGATGATGTGCACAATAAACATTTTTTAACAGTTTCCGAACTGTTTATACTCTGCCCTTAAAGTGGAATTTTAACCGGCATTTTCCTGCATAATTTATTTAATAAAAATTGTAGGTATGCAATGTATAAAAATAGTAGAATAAAAAGCTTTTATACTGACAGCCAGATTTAATCATTAAATTACGAATTACCTGGAAACCGTGAATAACTAAAATTTAAAAAATACGAAAACTAATACGCAGTGGTTAAAAAACGAATGCAGGTACGGATACACAAAACGGGAAGCGAAAACGGAAATTTTTTTAAACTTTTGGATACTTTTAATACGATCTGGTACTAGGATTGCTGCTTTGTCGATTAAGACTATGCTCACCTATTAGAAAATCTCGTAACAAACAACATTTTTCCTATACATTTTTCGACCTAAAGCCGTTTTCCAGGACTTTTCACCCTCTGAAATTCACGAAGTACCAAAACAAAACAACGGGCGCCATGATGATTCAGCTCTTTGCGTCGGCGTCAGTCAAAATTTTTCGCGTAGTTGCCAGTACTATATCAGCTTTATAACTTTCTTAACATTACCACTTCCTTCTTTTTCATGTACACAAATCATTTAATATACTTAACTATTTAATATAAAATAGATAGTAATTAGTAATACCCAGATGATATATTTTCAATACTTTTCCGATTCTCATCATAATTCCAATTAACCGATTAAGAACTCACACGCAATCAAAGACATCCATAGAGAAACCAAAGCTGAAAATATGTACTTTATTTTATTTTCTTTGCATGCAGACACAATTAATTTTATATTTCAAACGGCTGGCTGCAATCAGCTGGGTCCCGGCTAAATTACGCGCACAATCATATGTATGAGCTTATCAGTTTCTTCTACTATCTCCTGCATGGACGTAATTCTGCTAAGTTTTCAACCTTGAATGAATTACTTTTTTGTTTTCATTGAAATTTTCTACTTTGGTGGCAGTTCCGCAACATGGCTGACCAGTATGCAATTTTTGGCTGCGCGTATCCTGCGTACAGGCATGCGCGCGTGCCACAGCAGATCGTACCGTAAAGCATTACTAAAATTGGTAATGGGGAAGAAGAAGTTTGAATGAAATGCTGATTAATAAGAAAGCCAAACACACAAAAGCATAAAAAAATTCAAATAGGGAAGAAAATGAAGTTCTGTTACATTCATAGGACATACTTTACATACATACAAGGTTCCCACAGCGATTCTTTAGTAAATAGAGACATGAACATGACTAAGATGTTGATTGATTGCAAACGACATTTTAACAAATCAACGGATTCAAATTGATTTAATATTGTATTAAACCCCCATTTTTTTCTAAATTTGTTTATTTATCTCTAGTCTTTTTGCTTTCACTCCCTCCTGTTTTAGAATTTCTTTGGCAATTGATATACGAACATTCTGCC